ATAATGATTTCACAACATTATTTTAGGGGAATGTCTCAAAAATGATTTCGTTCCCGTTCCTTCTGGGTTTTTGTTCGTTTGTTTTATCATCTATGGTTTTTGTTGATCTGTTTACTAATGAAATAATTATATATTTAAATACTGGATTTTTTTTTACACATTATGGTTAAAATAAAGTTTACCTAATGGCTTGGTACTGGATTACTGGGGAAATGATTGACTTAGCTGCATAACATGAGGCGAATTGTTTGCTAGTGATGTTAGCTGAGTGCTAGCATGTAGTGTAGTTAGTGATGTCTACTACATTGTTTGGGAGTCTGTCTCTACTAAAGCCGAGGCTTTTACTCAGCGAGGGACTAAAAAATGTCCGAAAAAAGGACAAAGTGTCCCCACAACAAAAAAAAATTCACACAAATACAACTACAGCAAAACACACGTGGAGAGACGGCTGTTGACTCTCACTGTCTGTGTGAGCGGCTTTACCCACTGCCTGATAAATAACCGTAAAGTGCTCTTAGCTGCACTGTGTGCAGCGGGCGACGGACAGAGTTCAATCAACCTATCTGTCCAAAAACACAGAGAGAGGCTAATGAGATTTTCCCTGCCATTGTGTTTCTGTCATTTCACACACACACACACACACACTAAGCCTGTCAAATCTCCGCCCTGAAACATGACGCCTCTCTACCTATAAACCTGGGCTGCTCACCACTTCACATCCTCCCTTTTACAAAAATGCTAAATTCTGGAACAACAACAACAACAACAAAAAAGTATGTTTTTATGTTTTCCCCTGCAGGGTTGTAAACAAGAGCTTAAAAATAATAATAATAAATAATAAATAATAATAAATAATAATAATAATAATTCCTGTGCCAAATATATTTTAAAACAATTTTCTAAAATTTGAAAGTGTATAATTATTTCTGAAGTTATTTTAGTAATTATTTGGCTAGTTTTTTATTGCTAGATTCTGGCTAATTATTTAGCTATTAGCTATTATTTAATTTATTAGTATGGCTAACTTTTACTATTTTTTTAACTGGTTAAATAACTTGTTAAATAGAAAACAACAAAATAATAATAATAATAGTAATTTGAGCTCTATTGGTCCCTTGGGACAATTCTTGTGTTAACAGCAGATCTGCTGCAATAGTACGCAGTTCCTCTGGGAATCAAACCCAGGACTCTCTGCTCTGCTAACGTGCTAACTGCTACATTATGGAACCATAACTTATTTTACGCACACCTGTTTTTCCAAATCGATTTATTCTTTCTCCTGTCCACCTGTTAGCTACGTTTAACAGTGAGTCATGTTTTTTCTGCTGCTAAGATGAAACTTTTTTGTTAATGTTTGCGTCAACGTATCAATTTAAGAGTGAAGTTTATGTAATTGTTTTGCCAGATTTGTTTTATTTCATCCATTTTCTGTCTCTTCATCTCTAACCGAACAAGTTCATGTCATCTGTGAGGGTTAAAAGGTTTTTTTTACTGAATTTATTTTCCAAACGTTTGCTGTATTATTGACTACTTTTTTGCCTTTCCATTAAAGTTTTGCAACATTTGTGAATTACTGAGATTTTACACAAAATAGCGTCACAGCCTTTTCCTGACAAAAACAGCTGACGCCTCAGTTTAGCTGCGAAGCGAAACGACTGAGCTTGTTAGCAGACAATAGTTGTAGGTGAAATTTAAAAAAAACAATCTTCCCAAAAAGTCAACAATTCATTTGTCCTTTGGCTACAACTGCCGATGAGCCGTTTACTCAACAACACCTTCAACTAAAGGGATAATTCTGTTTATTTAAGAATCAAAAGCCACTCAACGTGTCTCATAGTTTTTAATGTTTTTAAAAGTTCTAAACTGAAGTCAAGAATCTGAATCCCTAAACAGGCACACAGTAGTGATGGAAGAAAAAGGTCCTCTTTGTGGCTGTAACATAAATGGACACAGTATTTTTAGACTGAGTCCTGAGTGGCCAATAAATTCCCTAGTGGACATAAAAACTGCAACTTTACTCTAAATACTTGTTGATTCACTGCTGCTTCTGCAACAAAGTCAAAACGTGTCGTTGTGTGACTTCAGTATCCGTCGTTCTTTGTTTGTATTTACTTCACTGGGATAAAGTAAACAAATAAAGCGGACCAGCAGCTGTGATGTCATCCCAGTTTATATGTGGATTTTTCTCTGTGGACTTTGAGTTTACAGTGTAAAAGAACACACACTGTTCTAAAAGTAGAACTAAAGAGTTGTCTTTTGGGAAGCAGTTTAAATATTGTTTGTTGTTCACATTCACCAACTAGATATTTCTACGCTGGCAAGAGGTGTTTTTTACAACATTCCCTCCATTTAGCTAGAAAAACTTTGTCATTTTACTGGCTTTATTCTTCCCTCCATTTAGCTAGAAAAACTTTAAACTTTGTCATTTTACTGGCTTTTTTTTTATTGTGTTTTTGCTACGTTTCTTAAGTAGATCATACTTAGCTTGTTCTAAACACATCTCTCAGCTGGTGACATTTTATTGGATATTATTTTTTCCTTTCACCTTTTGGTATATTTTCTTGTTATTTATTTGAGTGCCTGCTGTCTTATTTTGTAAAATCTAAAAAACAACAGTCAATATTGGAGATAAAAAAATACAGAACTCTCCCTTTAGGAGTCATACGATGGCAGTTGTTGAGGTTTTTATTACAGTATTTTCATTCCACTTTCTTGACAAATATATTTAATTAAAGTGCAGAGAGACACCCAAGACTGAGGGCACCGAGCGACCTCAGTTCTGTGAGTGAACAGAGTTTAAAGACCTGGTGTGAATCACTGATTTTCTGACACGCACGATGTGAGTGCACAGCAAACAACCCTAATCAGCTGCATCAAAACAATCATTAACCAACCTCCCACCGTCTGCCCCCCCTCCCCCCAACACCCATTTTCTCTGCCTGCTTCTGCACAATCGACCGAGGTCAAGACTCCAGACAGCACCTCGGAGACCCTTCACTCACACTCACACTCCACAACACAGCTCTGCAACACAAACACACACACACATGCACAGATAAAAGTTCTGTTACTAAAGCATAACAGGCTAATGTTCAGAGCGTCTGAGCGTGATGTAGTCAGTCGGCAGTGTTTTTATGCATTAGGCCTGTGGGCGGCTGTGCGTGAGTCGCTCACTTCTGCAGTTTGGCTCCATGTAGAGCTGTTTATACAAACCACACGTGGATCTGCTCTTAAGAGTCTGAAAGGTGCTGTCAGACTGCTTGATTCCAGCCAAACGTTAGCATTAGGGTTGAAAAAAACCACAAACAAACAAAGTTCACGTAGCACCAGGAGTGCCTAAAAATAAGCTAAAAATTAGGATAACTTTTTGATCAAATGTAATTAAACGGATGTCTCCAGGGTTAACCAAACGATGAACAAAACTATTTTGTTATAATCAGCAAAAATATTTAGCCCCAACTTGAATTTTTCAACGGTAAAAAATGTGCTTAAATATGCTAATGCTGCTCTAATCCTACTCACTAGACGCCTGGCATTGCTACAAAACAATACAGAGTCATGTGAGGGCTGTTAGCCCAGAAAGCTTTCAAATTAGCCAAAAATGCAGCATGACTGTGCAGAGCCCAAATTATACCCAAATAAAAGAGAGACAATCAACAGCTAGCCAAAATTAGTTAGCATAAAAGTAACTGCCCGTGAAGAGCAGAAAACACAGTACAATAAACATTCTAACAAAGAAATCCTAAGTAGTCCTTGCGTTTCACAATAATTAAACAACAAAATAAGAGTCGCTACCAAAATGCTATCAGGATTCACGAGAGTCAATCTGTGAGTGCTAGCCCGAGGGGCTTTCAAATTAGCCAAAGAAAGAAGCATAACTAATTGAGATTTTAGAACAGGGACAGATCACTGTTGGCCTGACAGACCTGACAGTCATCACATGAACAGCAACACATGTTGCCCAAACTTTAATAGCTAAAGAATTAATTATTTTAAACATTTAAACATTAGCAAAAAAAAATCTTTAAAAAAAGATGCAGATTAAATCATATTAAAGTAATTGTTAATAATAACTTAGAGTTAACATGTATGCCATGATTTAAGATGAATCTGAGCCTAGCCTAATTTCTAAGTTAGCTTAACGCCAAACTCAGAATTACCTAAGGTATCAATGATGAAGTTAAAATGTTTTTTTAAGAGGCAGAAGTCCTACATCACATGAACCCCGTCTCCTGAACCTGGTCCAGGGGCCACATCTGGCCCCTGTGCTGAGCTCCAGACCATAATAATACTGATGGCTGCAGTATAATACGCTACTTTGGCAGTTTGTGAAAATGACCTCATATACAGTGCAGCAGCACCAGTTTTTAAAAAGCCTTACAGTAGCAGCAGTGACACTGGTTACCATGGCTACCTCAGATAAATTATCTGTAATAACCAAAAAAAAAAAAAAAAATATAAAAAGAATTATTCACATTATGCGCAAGTGCTGATAAATAAAAATTTATTCACATTATGCGCAAGTGCTGTGTTAAAAACATGACCTGTGCATTTGTGACCATTTCTCATTTGACCCAATCACGGCGCGGCATCAATGACTCATTCTCACATGCTCAGCTTATCTAGAGCAAACACAGCAACCATAAAGCAATGGTTTGGAACAGCAACACACCGACGCGCGCCTTGTTTATACTGGCATCTAAACGGTGTAAAGGTTATAAACCTAAGCTGTGGACCGTAATACGAGTGCTCCCCTCCCATAGGTTGGGAGGTTAGATACACAGCACAGATAGGCTGCCTGTGAATGGTGTTAGGAGGAAGCCATCTGCTCCTGTTTATGGTTCATTAACCCTGCAAACCCCTGGATAACCAGGCTGCCCCCACAGCAACAGGTCCAAAAGCCCAGACTTCTGGCAAAATTAAACCCAAACAGAGGAAGATAAAAACAGAAGTGGGCAGATGTTGCCTCTCTGTGTTGAACTTGACCATAAAGTCCCTACCTTCCCAAAAGTCCGTACGCGTACTGTGAGTCGGCCAGCAGTAATGTGATCTCCCCCTGCTGCATGGACAGGACGCACTCCTCCAGGGCCTGCAGGTGTCAAAGGCACAAGGTGTTAATTAAAGTGTCTGCCGTTGGCTTCTTTAAACGTCCGTGCAGAGAAAGAAAAAAAAAATCATAGTTTCACATTTCAGAGCCATCGGACTGAAGAGAAGCAGCTGACGCCGTGAGATGTAGAAATGAGCCAAATTCAATTAAGTCTTACTCTTTTCTCTAAACTGTGACTTAGTTCAAATTAAGTCAGTAAAACTGTTTTGGTTTTTGTTTAGTTTCAGTCGTCAACATTATCAAAATCATCATCAAGTGTCATCAAACTGCTGACGTTGACAAATTATTTCAGTCCAAACAAACGATATTTGATTGAGTCGACTAAAACGCCAGCCTACCTGGGTTACATCTCCCTCTCCGACAACAAAGACAAGTTTCCAGTCCTTCTCCACCACAGTGTGGTCCTCCAGGACTCCTTGCATCTTCACTGTGACCTCCTGACCCCAGGTGGGGTGCGGGACATGTGGCTCCACAGGTTCCAGAACTTTTTTCCTCAACAGCTGGTCCTCTGTGAGAGGAGAGAGAACAAAAAAACATCACACAGAATGAAAAGTGGTTCAGGATATGGAGGTCCACCTGGTCTTCAGAGATGTTCCCTCACCTGTGATGTCCTGCCAGTCTTCAGCTGCGAACAGCTCCTCAAAGGTGAAGCGGCTCCACTGCTGCAGTGGATATTCTGGAAAGAGACTCTCCGCAGAACTGTCCCTCTCCAACGTGTCCTTGTCCTCCGACGGATCTTGAAATCGCACCATCTTCCAGCTGTTGGTCTTCTTCAGTTTTTTGTGTCCTTCACGTTGTGTCTCACCAACCTCCGTGTCAGGATCAGAGACGGTCTTTAACTGGGTCCACTGCTCTGTTCCTTCAGAACCAACTGTTCCAGGCTGCTCTTTCTCCTGCAGTCCTTTGTCTTCATCTGAAGAACCAGGAGTCACTTCTTTACAATTGTCCGTGTAAACAGACCCACCAATGGTCTGGTTTTCTTGGGGTTCTGAAGGTTCCAGTGAAGGTCCTTCATCCTCCTCACGACAGGTCTCTGTCTCCATGTCACTGCAGGGAGCGATGGACACCATCTGAAAAAGAAATGCTCCTCCTTATTGGTCCAGGTGTCAACAACGTTTAAAGTAAAAGCCTCAGTTGTGACAGTCCTGCAGAATCCAAAACATATCTCCATGATGAACTGGGAAGCTGTGTCGCTAATTCTAAATCCTGAATTCTTCACTGATTCCTTCTGAGACTAACCCCTGACGCAGGTTCATATATTTGGAAGCCTTCTGCCTTTGTCTGTCCTCAACCTGAGCCTGTCTCAGTCTACATCGTCCAGTTGACACAACAACCACAAAAAAAATGATCAGTGCAAAGAATCGGCATACTGCAACGAAGCTCATTCTGCCAGCAGGCATGTACACTGGTAATCTGCAGGATTAGAGGAGAAAACCCTAATCTGCCAGGACGTCTGTAAGCTCCTTAATAACTTCACTGTCGAGTTGCACTCATGATGGCTGTATGAATGCTAGGTTTTCAGATGAATGCAGATTTAATAAGGATATTAGCTTCTGTGTTTTATTGACATTCTCTAGATACAATATAAAACGGCAAGATCTGAATCCACAAGTAAAAACCCAGAGAAGAAGCACAGTGTGTTAGCAGGGTAAGCTAGGCCTAGCCTTGGTGAAAAATAAAAACTCAAAAGATGTGGCTACATACTGGTGGTGTAGCACAGTGCTAATATTTTTAAAGATAAGCTGTACAAAACTTAAGGTTAGCTATAGATACTGCCAAAAGGAAGGCCAAAATAAAACTTTTAGCTGCCCGAATTACAGCAAAACAGCCTTCAGGTAGACATAACTGTGCAATTTTTAATTTTTTTTTTTTTACAAAAAAGTCTAAAATAAACACTAAATTAATAAATAATAAAATAACCAACCAATGTAATTAAGTAAAGTATCTTTACTTTGCTTAAACTCTACTCAGGTACCCATCTAAAACTCTACTATCCTCAAAGGCCTACAAAGTTTGTATGAACAATCCACCTGTACGTTTGACGGACGATCGCTGTCCATCCAAAGTTCGGCTACAACAACAACCAAGAGCTAGTTTAATACACACGAATTAAGATGAATTCATAAGAGACCAACTGTAACTCAAACCATGCACCTGTGTATGTACTGGTACTGCTAACGTCAATGAAGCGTTAGCTAGCGGGATGAATGCTAAGCTAGGCGAAGATAATCGATATCATGAACGGAGGAGCGTTTTTAGCCAAACAATAAACACAGCGTTTGGGGAAACACAGGTGAAAGCACAGGTACGCTACTCACTGGCACGTGATTTCGCTGGTTTGACGTGGAAGTTTCGAGAGCGACAACATCGTCCGCCGGTACAGGCACATATCGTATCGCATGATAAAGTTATTGCCTCGTTTACATTTGTAAACAAAACGCTGGCTGAGACTTGGCCAAGGATTTCCCTCTCTTTCGGAGTCCTTTGCTCCACTGTAGTTCTCTGCTTGGCAATCCTTTACATCCATTTCCGGTTTGGCACCGACCAAGAACATGCTAGTTCCGGTCTCTGAGTCGACGTTCTCTGGCTACACTAACCTAGTGGGAAACCAGCGTGCGCACACGGCCACGCAGTTTTCGCAAATTGTTTTCCCCCTGCATTATTTTTTTTTTTTTGAGTTTTCCCCCCGCATTATTAATATTATAATATTTAATTATTTATTAAAAATAAAAAAATACTCACATAAACTACTCAATTAGCTATACCAAAAACTATTAAAAAAAATACTCACATAAACTAAACAATAAAATAAGTATATTTTTATTATTATTTTCTACTTCTGTAAACCAGACTTCAAAAAATAAGTAAAAAAATATTTTTTTTATTTTCTACTTCTGTAAACCACACAGAAAACACATAAAACGAAGCTAAAATGACTAAAACAAAACAAGAAACTAACCTTAAAGAAAACGAAGCTAAAACAAAACAAGAAACTAACCTTAAAGAACCAAAACAAACAAAAATATAATAAATTAATATAAAATAATCGTATGTTTTTTTGGCTCTGTAAATACAAGGTGTCCTCGGAACTACTGAGAGACAGGTGTGTGTGTGTGTCTGTCTACTATACCTATACTTGTGGGGACATTTTTTTGCGAACTACTATGGTTGAGGAGACGCTTCGTCTCCAGGTCCCGACTGAGTTGGAGGGGATTTTAAAGGTTCAGGGTTTGAGTTCGGTTCAGATTAGAGTTAGGGCCGGGACCGAGATTAGGCAGATATTGTCATGATAAAGGGTGAGGAGCGAGGGGTGAGGGAATGCATGATGTTTATATGAAGTGCTCACAAAACCAATGTGTGTGTGCGCGCGCGTGTGTGAGTATGTGTGCGTAATCCCCGCCCTCCCTCTGTGTTTCTCGCTGTCTCTCTCTCTCTCCGTATGTGTGTGACGTTCTGTGGTTGGATGTCAACACACGCTCTCTCTCTCTCTCTGTCTCTCTCTCTCTCCCTCTCCCTCCCCCTCCCCTCCCCCGTCCTCTCACCCGTTCAGTTAAACCGTGTCTCAGTTGTAGAAATGGCAGCGCTCACACAGGAGCATCGCTACGGGCTCTCCTGTGGCCAAATCAACAAAAACGCACCGAACCAAACTCTGTACCACGTCAAACTCACTGACACCGCCATCCGGACCTTAGAATCGTACCAGAAACTGAAGGTAAGAGCGACAATCACCGGATCCAACTTTGGAGCTCGTGCGTAAATGTCCAATTTCCGACTCTTTTTCCTCTTGTTTTTCTCTCTTTGAACGCTTGCCAACCAACTCGGAGACTTTATCGGCTGCTCTTGTTGGAGTAGCAGAATCATTTGGGTTCAAATGACTTAAAAAAATTAAAGTTCGGAGACTTTGACCACAGACGGACCGTGGATCGATCGGGTCTGAAGGACTGACGCGCTGACTGCTGCACGTAGGCTGCACTGGTTTACTCTGGCTCTGGTACAATAGGAGGCAAATTCAGACTGGACTAAGACTGAAATATACGTTAAAAAAAAAAAAAGATTAGATGAGACTAACTTTAATCACAAAACTTTTTAGAATCGATAGAACTTTAATCACAAAACTTTTTAGAATCGGCACAAAATGATGACAACCAAAATCAGTGAAAAAAAAAAAAGCAGAAGCCGAGGGAGAAGAAATGCTGTTTTTATAAGTGAGTTCCATAAAAGAATTCAACTAAAATAGAAGAATCGAAAATAAAAACCTTAAAAAATGTAATGTGAATTGGGCAACACAGTGGAGGTGTGGTCATTTCTCTTGCCTTACAGCGATAAGGTCATGGGTTAAATCCCCAGTGGTAACTGACGGTCTTCTGGTGCAGAGTTAGTTCTGGTTCGTGGGTGTGGGTTTCCTACCACAGTGTGGTGTTGGGTGAACTGTTCACGCTAAAATGACCGTCAGTGTGAATTTCAGTGTAAATTGATGTTTGTGTGTAGTGGTTGAATTAAAGAGGGTTTTTTTTCCAACACATTGTTTACTTTTGAACTAATCCAATAAGGGGTCATGTGACCAGTTTGTTTTTCCTATCGTCTGAACGTGTTAAAGTTTTGTCTTGAATCGGGGCAGACGGTGGTTTTTAATTATACGTCTGCCCTGCTGGTTGTTCACATCTGAGATTCTGCAGTAACCTGTACGCAGAAATACTTCTCACTGTATCACAGCTAATTGCGACACAGAGTTATGACGTTATTGTTCAGAGGTGTCAGAGAAGTCAAACATCTGCTGCGTTTGGTTTAATTTGGTATAAAATAACCGAAAAGTAAACATTTTTGCTTCATTTACTCGGCAATAATTAACGCAACGTTACGACAATGTTATTGAACTCAAACAAATCAAACCCTAACCAAACAATTCTGAATTCGCCAACCTGCGTCATTTGTTCCGTTTACATCTGTGAACCTTCAGATTATCGGAATGATCTGGCAGAAAAAAAAAAATTCCAGATATTTGTGCGACATTTGTAGCCATATTTATTGAAGTAATATCGCAGTGTCATCAGCAAATAACTGATACCTTGTAATGCGTCTTTAATTGCATCAGCAAGCCTCATTTAGTTGAAACATGAGCAGAGACAGATTTTTTTTTTTTTTTTAAAAAAAGCTCATAAACACCTACAAGACCATGATACATGCCAGTAATCACTAGGACTGTATGTTGGTGAGCAAAATGGAATTTCTTTTCACCAGCTTTTCATTCCCCACTCCTACATTTTGTCATTTGGATTTTTGCCATTTTTCATCTTTAAACCATTTTAAAGCACATTTATATTGGATTATGGTTCATTGTGTCAAATCAAATATTTTGGGTAGAAAGAACTCTCCTCTGGTACTTGCGCCAGACTTTATCAACAACAGTTTTAGTTTTTTTGGCAAACACACACAAACGGTTGTAATTCATTCGATGTAAAAATAGGCAGTTTCTCTGCTCTTTTTTGGCTCTGGGGAATAAAATAATGAAGAAGCTATCAAGCAAATTATTCAACTCCTCCAGGACGGAGACAGGAGTTTTATTGCTTTTATGGTTCATTAGATTAGACTGAGATCATTTAGTCTATCTTTTTTTTTCCCAGGGTAATGTGTAAAAGACAGTCATGACTGCACAAGGATCACAGTGAGCTCCTTTTTTTTTCTTCAACCGTCAAATAAGTGCATGTGCACCACCTTCTCGGGTTGTGAACGGAACTAGAACCCTGACTTTTGCACGGTGGCTGCAGGGCTCAGGCAAGTTGTTGCTGGGCTCTGGCGTATTTCTGTTTTTTGCCCTTTACACGCCTGGAAGCCCGCCCAGCTCCAGAGCCCGTTGGTGTGTGATAGAGAGTGAACTCCTGAGCTCACAGAGCCTGACGGCTTCCTCCAGGCCACAGCAGGCAGAGGAGCCAAAGGAGGCAGGAAGGAGCAGGCGGTAAGAAGAGCCCCGTCCACAGGGTTGTCCTGGAAAGACTGGTCTCTCTCACTGTGGTGAGAGATTCTGCCTGAAATCCTCGGTGGGCAAACACAGGCCACGCCCATGTTGGTAACTGTAGCAGTTTTGATTTTGTTTGGCATTTCTAATAATAGACCAGTCTTGGTGAAAAATCAAAAAAAAAAAAAGGAAAAATCAAAAAAAAAAGGAAAAGTTCTAGGATTTCAGCTTCTTTTAGTTTCTTTATGACAGTAAAGTAAAGTTCCCTGTTTTTACCCTAAGATTTGTTGACCATGAAAGGCCTTAAATAAACTAAACACCATCGTCTGGCAAATGTTGAGATTTCTTCACGAGTTCTTTGCGATTTCCAAACGTAGGATCCATGACTAGAATAGACAGTTTTAAAATACGAACCTTTGGAGAATAAAGGACTGATCGAGTTCAGTTTGACTTTTTTTGTGTTGCTCACACAAAGACCCGCTCCCTCAGGCATCCACTGGACTCAGTGGTCAATGAGGGGAAAAAAGGTCAAAATCTATTTGGAGCGACTGATGATGTCATCGATGACGCTGCGTCTCTGAAGGAACTAATTTCCCTCGCCAAACATTGCTCGTCTCCGTGGCAGTTTAATCTCTTCTTTACCTAATGTTCGGTCCAGGCTCTTATTCTTTTTTTTTATCGTTCATGCTTTTATTCTGAACTTTGTCGGGTCACATGATCATCAGGGTGACATTTCAAATCGAACAGATCTTGATTTAAAGTGAATCAAAAACCAATTTGAGTGGATTCTCAAACTCACACCTGTTACACCAAATATCATGCTTCCATCTTTATCCAACCACACAGATGGCGCTAACTAACTAACGCACTGCATGCTATCATTTATTAATCCGTTCAGTATTAAAAAGTGATGGATGATGAAATAAATCACAGCAATGCTCCTCGATGCGGGAAGAAATTTTCCCTCAAGCATAAATAATAAATGCTGCCAGTCCTGTCAGTCATGGGTGTAGCTGTAATTAATGAACGACGGTCTTCAACTATTAAACGCGTATCATGTTGACTGGAAGGGATTTAAAATTGCATTACGTTTTTCTTTTATCTGAAGGAAAATCACATATTATCAGGTGTGTTGTTTTGTATCATTTCTGATCAGCTTCAAAGAAAGTCTGTCAACAATCAGTTAAAATCAGTTAAAATAGGCTGAAAACCCATTATTCATAGCAGTTTTGTGTATTAGCACAAAAACCTCCAGTGATATTTTAACAATTGTTGTTGCTGTTTCTTAGTGATCCTTCTGTATTACACTACACACTTTTTAATATTTTGATCAGTGTTTTTCTGCTAACATTGTGTGTATTATCAGTTACTGTTTTGCCAACTTTCCCAGTGGTAGTTTGGACACCCTTTTGTTGCTACTATTTGCTTGTTATTAAAAATAATGGTATGCTCTGGGCTACATGTACATTTGACTGCCTTTCATCTGTTTGCTAAATTATTAGCTGGTTTTGGCTACGCACTCTTTCTACAACGTTTCTGGATCTTGTGGCTTTGGGCTATTTCTTTAGCTCACATTTAGCCAGGGTTCATTTTATTCTTACAATAGAAATTGTGATATCTCACACAATATCACTATACTGTCTCTTTATTTGGCTAACAATTAGCCAGGGTTGGTTTGAATTATGCTAAATCAGTGCCTTCTATATGGATTTTATGGAAAGATTCCAGTGCTAAATGTTTAACCTCCTTCATTACGATTAGACACACACGTTAGCACTATCACAATAAGCTAAGAAAAATTTAAAAAAATATATAATTTCTTGTAATATTTTTGACTCAAATATTAATCGGCACACACTTTTTAAATATCAAGACAGGCTCGATTGAAAATTCAAATCATGTTATTTGGTCATTAAATATACATTTTTTTTCCACTGTGCAGATGCAAAACACTAATATATTCTCGTTTGTAAAGTATGAGTTTTCTATTTGGATAAACATGAACATTATTTTTGAAGCACTGACTAAATTCGTCTCTCTCTCTCTCTCTCTCTCTTTTCCCCCAGGCAACACTATCAAGTCAGCCGGCAATTTGCTTCAAGGGGAACCAGGGGGTAAGTAACACTCTTCCCTAATGCCTCAAAAAATGAAGGCTCTAATTAGCTCTGATTTGCCAAGGATTCGTGCACTCGTGACAGTTCCTCTGCACATCTCATCTAGCTCTTCAGCACAAGCAACAAGCGTTCGCCTGCATCGACAAAGACGTTTAATTTTCAAAGGTCGGCGTGATTCATGCAAACACTTTTCAAACATTAAAACTCCAGAAAAATGTCAAGAAGATTGCTACTGCGCTCTGCAGTTCAGGTGCATGGGAATAACTGAAATGTTCCCGAGTGCGAGAAAATGTTCAGAGGTTTGTTTGCAATCAACGACAATGTTAAAACACGGTAGAAAAACGGTCACAGAATATCAACGTAGGACTAACGCAGCCAATTTTCAACCAAATCCAATCAATCTTGGAACTTCTGGGAGTCTCTCGCATGACACTAGCTCAAATATTTCAACAAATGGTATCAAAATGACGGTGTCCCGAAATCCCGAAAGTAGGCAAGCCAGAACGTAACAGGAGGCAGAGAGAGTGTTCATCTGACAATAACAGCAGTGTCGCGGCAGAAGGAGAGTGGCCCGGACAAAAACAAAATACAAAACCTACGTCAGCTCAGATTACGCTAACGTGAACCCTTGACTGATGAGGATAAACAATAACCACAGTGTTAAACCAAGGACAGTGTACAGCAGTAACTGTAATACTGCCCCCGGTGGGTTAACATTTGTTAAAGTCGTGATGAGGTAAATGTGATTTGAGTTAGCTGTGCATGAAAACACACTGATTGGCTCAAAGGAACATAATCTCCACTTTTTGGCCACAGACGTCTCCAATCAACTTTTGCGAACAAATGTATTCTTCCGTTCATCCGATCTGGAGGATTTCAGGTTAGCGTCAGCGCTCCAGAATGAAAGCAACTTTTGCCCCAGATATAAACAGGAGAAAAAACAGTGATTCATATGGAGATTAGAGCTAGCTGGTAACGGAGCATTACTGTAAAGAAAGATGTCAGTGTTCAGCCAGATTAGCCCCCACTCTACCTGCCGCCGCCGCTGCTGCTGCTACACGTTTACCACACAATCGTCCTGTCTAAAAGGAGCCGTTCTAATCCCCACGAGAGCCGATTGCATCGACGAAAGTGACTGTACTCAAATATTGGCCCTGTGCGCTCGCACGAGCGCTGGAAGCCCCGAGTCAGGCTACTCTATACCCTCAGGCTGCCAGCCAGGTTAGTGGGTCATGCTCACAACTGGGGAAGCTTTGTTCAGGAAGGTGGAGGAGGAGAAGGAGGGGGAGGAGGGGGAGGGGGGGTAGTAGAGGGAACGGGTGAACCCAAGGGAACCCCCCCCGTGCCTTTCTACGCCTGTTGTCTCCGTGCAGACATGAAATGATTTTCAGGAGAGGAATCACTGAAGAGCCATTGAATTAATTTTAATCGGGGGGAAAAAAAAAAAATTCCGTGGCAATAAAATAATCCGTGCGTTGTCGCACGGAACATGCCTGGGACTGACCTGCCGGAGAGTCCTTCTGTGAAGCAATGCTAAGTGAGAGCAAGTGAAGTGTGCTCTCGTCATTGAAGAGGATTTGCTGTTTAATAGCTCCACCGCCACATTACATATTCAAATTGCTCCATGAAATTGAAGGGTGGGCTCTCCCTCCCCCCTCTGACAGCAGCCCCTGAGCTGGACGAGGGGGCATTAATGAGGTAGCAGCAATCTCTGGTAGTAGGGGGAGGCCAGATTAAGACGTTAGTGGGGGGAGGATGGTGGTGAACATGGCAGTGTGGCATCGAACAGAAGGTGAGAATAACCAGCAGGTGAATCAGTAATAATGTACGGACGCCCGCAGTCTAGCTGTCGATGGATCACGATTGTAACTGAAGAATCGCTGGTTCAATTTCCAGGTCTGGCGAAGCTTTGTTTAACTGGATGTAGACAGTTTTTTTTCTTTTTTTTTTATCTCTGCATCACTTCAATCCTCTGGTATCATGTAACTGCAAAACATGTTGCTGCCATCGCAAATCACCGGAGCTAACGTTAGCAACAGTCCGTGTAGTTAGCCACAGACAAACGTTGGGGTCCAGAACCAAAATGTCTTCAAATGTTGAATATGAAATCTGTTTGTACTTCTCTTTTAATTGTAGCGTAAAAAGATTTAAATCATTCAGTCATCAGCAAAGAGAATTGGAAACATTTGTAACAAAAATTGCTACAATTGTCACAAAAGGACTAAAGGGTTAGCGTTCCACTCTTCGTAAAAGACAAATTAAATGAGAAATAATCGACACGAAAAAACAAATTAAATGAGAAATAATCGACACGGCAACGTCCTGAACATGTAGCCTTATTTAGACCTCCCACTATTTCCTTACTTGCTGAATGAACAAGTGCTTTCTGGAGCTCATCTCTTTCCCAAAAGCTTCACCAGTTCCCGTGAGGAGCCATTGACAGTTGCCAGCTGCGTGTTGCTTGATCACAGGAGCAACCAAACGCCTCTTTGTGATCTTTATACTCTTTGGTTCAAGTCATATTGCATGTAAAACGGGCCACAGAAACCAGAGGAATTCTTCAAATCCCTGTCCTGGCGTGGCTCCAGCGCTCGGCGGTATCAGGGGCCAGGACTCCTATCAAGAAATAGCACACTGAGGTTTTGGGCTGCCTTTCACTCCAGCCCTGTGGCATTCTGTGCTGCTATTGTAAATTGTCTGGCAGGCTTATAATTGTGCAGAGACACAAGTTTTCAAAAACCAGTATTTAAAGCAGCTCGGAGTCTCCGAAAAAAAATGAAAATGTAGGGCTGAATCTGGCCAAACCTCTGGTTTCACTCATCCAAACGGGGAAAAAAAAAAAAAAAAGCCCAGACTTAAACACTGATGTGTTTTTAAAAGTAGAGATGGTGATGCAACAGGAGAAGTATAAAGAGGAAGACATTCTTTCTTGTAAAAACCTCCGTTCCTGACTCTGAATGAATTTGAAATCTTCAGAAAGAATGAGGAGCCGCTGTCGGAGCTGCTCCCAGGTTCCCATGGTCTGGAATTTCACATCCTAGTGCATAATTTCCTTTAGTGCAAGAGACACAAGCTGCTGTTCCACATGTTCTCCGGCCTTTTAGCCAGGAATCAGCCCAACTTTTAGGTTTCAGTCTCAGCTGACTTTAAGTTAACTTTGAGCTTTGAGTTAAAACTGTTTCTTCAATTTTCTTCCAAACCTAGTAAAAACAAACGTACATTTATAATACTCCATTGTAGTACTGCAGAAGAAGCAGTTGTCTGTGGACTCATTAAAATATTTAGGTTGAATTCCAGCCCACTTTGACAGAGTCTGGACCCTCCTGCAGCCGTGGGTGGATTGAATTGATATCCCTCATTGTAAAGCGCATACTTCACATATTTTCTATCTGTTGGCTTTTCCAATCGCACTTTTGCAAAATCCACAACCCCCACCCCAACCTTCAGCAGAACAAAAAAAAAAAATGTAGCGTGCAGGAGTGTGGACGTTTTCTGTGCCAGTGAAGAGACGTTTACTGCTACAGCAAACACGGGCGATAAATGAGGATACTGTACCGTACGTAGTGCTGCGTCAGGTGTGACATCAGCTTCGTGTCCTGTCTCACTTCATAAATGCTAAATTGCACTTTCCAGTGTAATTGTTTGTGTTTATGGCTCTGGTTTTATGTGCACAGCTGCCACATAAAGGCCGCCATGGCAGTGCAGGGGAGAGGAGTGCAGTGAGTCGGGGGGGGGGGGGGGGGGGGGGGGGGGGGGGGGTGTGTGAACGCTTGGCCTCCTCCCGTCTCCTTCTCCTGTGGCTGCTCCTAATTATTGTGCCATTTTAACCCTGTTCTCTGGGTGAATCCTTAGGAGACGCACACTTGGACCACAGTCCTGGTCTCAGTGAAACAGAGGGAAATTTGATTCATTTCATCAGCTGTGTTAGCTGTTAGCAAGCAAGCTGTTCTAAAAAAAAAAAAAAAAACTTGAACTTTTCAACTGGCTCACTGGCTTTCAACCTCTCTCTTCACTTCAAACTAAAGATGAGAAAGCAGGGGAAGCTAACCCAGTAATCATCGGGCGGGGGCGGGGTTACATTATAATAAATAAATAATAATAATAATTTGAACTTTATTGATCCCCTAATTGGGAAATTAACTTGGAAATGCAAATCTGTTGCATCAGGCTGCCCCCAGCCGGCGCCAACTATATGAAGTTCCTTTGGGAATCGAACCCAGAACTATCATGCTACCGGTTCACTAAATAATTAAAAACATAATAATGACGTTTACACCATCGGTGAATTGGCAGATGTCTTTTTTTTTTCTTAGAACGTTTTGACTCACCCTTGTATCATCTGCTAAATCACAGTGTCGTCATTAATCAGATATGGACCAAGATCAACATGATTGCTGCACTTTGGCCCAGTACCCGTCAGGTCTACACGTCTTCACGTCACATCATAAACAAGCGTTAGCTGTGTGGAAGTATGTCCGTGCATGCGCCCATCACCCTCCCCCTCACCTCCCCCCCGTCCCCTCCTCTCTTTCTCCTTTTTTTTTCTCCTTCTGTAAGCCAATTAGAATAACAAAAGCAAGAATGCAGTTTGAGAGCTGCCCTCTCCCAGTGGCAGAGCAGCCCGAGCCAGAGACTCTGGCCCACGTGTTTCTGAAAGGGCACACGCCGCTCAGCTCACCCAGATGTGTTCGCTGCTCGTCTGAGGCCCACGCTGTTTACGCAAGGCCACTGGGCCTCGGGATTTTCAGATCATACGGTGTATTTTCAGGACATGCCCCGTGAGATTCTGCAGTCGGAGACGTATCTTTAGCTCCTCTGTCATTATTGTGTTTTTTAGCTGCGACGCTAAGGAATCTTGAGTGTTTTACAAGCGCTTTTATGGTTAGCGGCGTGATCTGAAACAGAAGGGGTCAGGAACGGGTTTTTAGCCCAAATACAAGCGGACTGCTCTTTATATTTTATCTTAAATAGTGGGTTGTTTTTTTTTTTGTTAAACTGTGCTGTGTATAAACAAAAATAAGTAACAAACTTTGTTATTTTGCGTTTTAACACGAAAGAATTTTCACAACACAGATTCATACATTTCTGTTTTTAATGAGAAAAATTGTCTTATCCAAAAATATAAAGGAATATTCACAACACAGATTCATACATTTTTGTTTTTGAGAAAAATTGTCTTATCCAAAAATATTTGAGATGGTTTGCAGTACTTCACCGGACCACCTAGGGGCCACAGACCTTCTGTTGAGAACCTCAAACAGCATAAATATGCAGAAGAGATAAAAGACGGCATTAGAAAATGGGGTGATATTTTGAACTCATATCCAACTGTGCAAATGTTCACCCATTTATTCTCCGAGAGAATTACTCCCATGTAACGAAGGCGTCTAGAAATTAAATTGAATTAATGCGTGTTTCGTGTTTCGTCGTCAAATGGGTCACAAACCCATCCCTCCAGTCGTCTGAACTGGTTCAGACAGGGCTGAGAATAACAACATCGCAGGTGTTTCAGGTTTGGCTTAAGACTACAGTTGTTATCGCACACGGTTTTTTTTTTCCTGCGGCACAAAAATGCAGAACAACAGGTTCACAAAAACAACACACACTCGACACATCTGTCAGTGTGTGTTTTGTGCAGGAGGTTGTGAGGGTTTTTAAAGTTTAAAACCCAAGAGTGTGAAAGCAACACCAGAGAGCTTTTGTTTAACCCTAAAGACATGGAGATTTAACAGGATTATATAATCTGTAATAGGATGAAAATGGAAGACGGGCCGTGTGCACTAAAGAGCATTTTCACTTCATTTACAAGGACAGCGCCCCACGGTTTTACTGCTTAATCACCGCTTTGAAAACCAATCAAAATGTGCGTTGATTTTACCAACATTTCTAACGCAGGTTGCACATGTAGACATTTCAAATTCCTTTTAACGTTGGGTTAAATAACCTGCAGCAGGATTTGCTGCAGTGGATTTTTTCTGCCCTCTCTCCAAGTTTCCCTGCAAGTTAATCAGGTTGGGACATATTTTCCAACTCACAATCTGTGGATTGTTAAAGGATTAAAGACCTCTTGCTTGCTTGCGTGGAGAGAAAAGCCCAGCGATGGGGAGAGAAAAAAAAAAAAAGTCGAGCTCCATGTGGAACAGAGTGATGAATCAACGAGGCTGATTCAGAGAAGACGATGCATCTGTGGCTGCAGGCTGTTGCTCTTCACTCCGAGTTCAAGTATTTACTGGAATTTTGGGCAAAAGTTTCACTTTGAAGATGAAAAATATTCAACATCGATAAAGAGGACGGCTACTGTTACTCAGCAAGCAACTCTTGTCCACCTGGTTTGATAAAGAGGACGGCTACTGTTAGACGCCCTGTTGGCTGTCAGCAAGCAACTCTTGTCCACCTGGTTGGACAGTTCCAACACCAAACTGAACAACAACACTCAGAGTACAGATCTACAAAACCAGAAATACTCGTCCATCATCGGCTAACGTGTATCAATAGAAGAACGACTACTGTCGGAGTGGATTAACACTACACTGAAGTCGAGTTACCCTCCAGCTTAGACAGTAATGCCTCTGTGCCTGCGCAAGAGGATTCTCTGCCTGATCACTTCAATAAGGAAAAAGCTAACAAAATAACTGGACCCAGCTGCTGCAAGGACTTATGGGAATATGGGTTTGTGTTTTTGTGTTAGCTTAGTAAAATCGTTCTTTTGTTTCTTCTCTAAAACAAACAACTTCATTTGACCGTAGTTTTCACAAAAAAGCGACACAAAAAAGCCGATCTGGACACTAATAAGAGAGAATGAAGGCCGTCCCTAAACACCAGCTAACCAGCTACTGCTAATGAGACGCTATATCTTTAAAGACTTCAGTACCGTCAGTGGAGAATGTAATAGTTTTACTTTTAAACCGTGTAAATACAGCGTTTTAAATGAAGGCCTTTCACTGTGGCCTCACAGCCTGTGTGTACAAAGAGGAAGGCACTTACAGGAAGGAGAGGTGGGGAGGGGCGGGGGGGTGTTTGGGGTTGACAGGAATAAGAGTGTTTGTTAAGGTTGACAGATTAGCCACATCTTCTTGGAGAAAGAAAGACTGATGCTACTTGGCATAGCAGGCAGTAGCTGGAAGGGAGAGGGGTGAGGGGGTGATCCACAGTTGCCCATCCCCATATTCCTACACCAACTCTTGTCATTCCCCAACCCCCCATCTTTTGCCTTTCCTGTCTCTACCAACCCCCTTCAATGAATAGATTCTGAATAGAGCACAGGAACTACCACCACCACCACCACCACCGCGCCGCCGCCACCACCACACATCCAGGCTCACTGAAAGCACGATTTAAACCGTAAGAGTGGATGTCACATGCTTCGCTCCTAACAAACCAGCCAAAGTGGATTTGTAGCCCAGATTGCACAAAGCTGGAGT